AGGAGAGGAGCTCTACGTGGAGATGCATTACCCCATGGGGGTGAGCGCTGGCGTTGTTGTCTGGGTCGTGGCTCCGTGTGATTGGTGGATTGTTGCATCCGGGACCGTGGGTCCGAGGTGGATGAGGACACACTTATTCGGTGGTCGTCGTTAACAACCGATGTTGTTGTGCCATAGGTGGCATCACGGGGGGAGCATTTGCTGGCATCGCGAGGGGAGCATTTGCTTCCATCGTGGCGATGTATTAGGCCACTGCCTTAACGGCTGCGCAGGTAGAGGCTTCTGCTATCATACGTTGGAGTGCTTCCTCGGTTATCTAAACGTTCGGGGGAACGGAGAGTGGTGGATCGGCAGGTGGTGGGTCGGCGAGTGGTGGATCCCGAGGGGGATTCACTTGGACATCGCGAGGTGGATCCGGAGCACAAGGAGGAGGTGGCAAGCCTGAGCCTCCGCGAATTGGAATGTCGTTAACTGTGTCATTTTCTCTCCGAGCGGATGACTAGGAGCATCTTGCAGGCTACGTGATCTGGTATGCATTTCCCACAGACGGCGCCAAAATGATGAAGCTAAATATTTAGATCACCTAGGGTAGTGTGGTAAAAGAGTTGGGAGAGCAAAGCGGATCACCAGCTTGCCAATTGGATGGTCTTGAGGTCCCTGTGAAATAACACACGTGAACTAAGCCGGGGGTTGATCCGGCGGCAACCCTTCCGACGCTCAAGTCAAATGTACGGATCGTGGAGATAGTAGAGAGAATATAAGCTCTAAAATGCTTGTTGTTGGGCCCAAGCCTTATTTGAAGGTGTTTTGGGCTTTCGTGTAGCGGACCAAAATAATAGATGAATCGTGAGCCCATTGGGTCGACCCAATTATGTATATCATTAAGCCCCCAACTCTCGAGTCGAGGCAGGAGACTTGTCGAAAGGGTGTCGGATCGCGTCGATAGTTAAATGTGTCGTAATTTGACTTGTTTGCATTGTCGTAGAATTATTTCGTAATAAAAAATGGGTAATTATATTTATTTGACAGGAAGATATATATTTAAGGGTTTTAAATATTATAGCAGTGCCAAATAAATTGAATTCTTTTGCGGCGGAGAGAAATAAATTATAAAATTAAGTATTTTTAACCTTTTGGGTATTTCTATGTGTTTTTCCTTGTATATCTTGCGGTAGAGTAGAATCTGCTCCATGGTTGAGTATTTTTTCGCAAAAAAATATTTTTCATGATTAACTCGGGTAAATTGAAATCCTTGCGGATAAAACTTCAAGATCCGGTTAGAAGGGGCGAGATGTCGTTTGGTACTTTGGGTATGGAGCGCGATAGGGTTGTCCCGTCAGATGCGGAGATCGAATTGCTCAGGGTTGGTTCGCAAAACGAAGAGAGTGTTGGGTTGAGGGGGGTTGCTGTTGGCTTAGGCGGTGCAGTCACCGCTGAAGATGGCTTGGCTCTGGTCACACATCCCGATTTGACGCAAAAGGAGATTGGAAGGTCGGCTCGTGCGCCGACCGAGGGCAGAAGCAGCTCAGCCGGCGCGACTGAGGTACATGGAAGAGTACGCGCGCATCAAGCACGATGACCGAGGGACGCGCGCGCACGTCTGGCGATCTGATTGGTGGACGCGCAAGCTCTTCGGGTGTAGATTTCGATGAATGCGCGCGCGCGTCCGTGGTGGGGAGTTGGTGTTAGAGTAGGTGACCAACAAGCCAACTTGTGGCTGTGGTCTTTCCATTTATTCTTGTAATAAATAATTATTTTTCATATTAATGATAAAACACCTTGGCATTCTATATCTTTGTCCCTTGTTCAAACATAGATATAGTCCTTACAATTATTACAAGTACTCGTAATTGATCTTTTAGGATCATGAGATATTTACTTAAGCATTATAACTGTTAAACATGTTCATAGTCGAAGGGTTACGCCACCAATGAGGATATCAACTTTTCTCATTAAGATACTAGCACTTAGTGTATGTGTATTGCGTCTCATTAGTAAACGGTATTGTGATATCGGTATGCATAAGTGGGTGCTCGTAAGTTGACGAGTTCACAGAAATCCCTCACCCTAGAAATCTGTAAGTGGTTCTCAATAATCGAGTAGAGATATCTATGGTATAGTTGTACACCATTAGTTCTTAAGACTAGACATCACCGTGACTTCACTAGAGGACCAGCTGTATCATGACTTGTCCCTAAGTTCCACCGAGGACCGCCCCCAGGGACAGTGTTCGAGCAGTTCGAAATCTAGTGGGAGGTATGTGCATTGTAGTCGGGATTCGATTGCTAGAATAGTCTTGGATGTCCTGCGTGTTCTCATAGTTTGTAATCTTTAAGTCTCTGGCCAGAGCTGACTAAGTGATGATTAGGGAATTCGATTCTCTAAGTCATACACGCACCGATTACAACACTTGGAACAATCACACAGTTATTGAACTACTAAGGAGGTCCCGATGAACCAATGTCTCTAGTTCAATCTGGACATATGAATCGAAGGGATCGTACTGTACGTTAACTATATCAAAAGGTTCTTGCAGGCACTTCATTTGTATCTAGGGAATCATGACGCGTAGTTGCTAGACGTCAATCTTGATTCGTTGGGTGATTAAGTTGAACTGAGCTTCATCTTAATCGTAACTCTAGGGACGAGTTTAAAACACAAAGGGTTGTGGACCCACCGTAAGCTTACACGTGAACCATCGAGGGTCACACTGCTCGTGCACTCGAGTTCATTGAATAAATGGTCAAAGATAAAAAATTTAAATCTTTGCATAATTGGAAGTCAATATGATTGAGTCCAACATTCGTAATTTGGAATTATGAATGAGAATAAGAAAAGGAAAAGAACTAGGCGTACATCTTAGTGAACTTTCTAAATTGGGAAGTTTCCAAATTTAGAAAGTACACTGAATTAGGGTTTCCACTTTTAGAATTTGAAAATCGAGAATTGGCATTCGTAATGATGAGGACGTTTCAATGATTCTGAAAATGTAATCGTTATAATTTTCCGATCATTGAGTTGTGAGAAACGAGCGAATAAAGACTAATGAACTTAAGCTGTTGGGTTCGGTCCTACTTAAGCCTGTTAGGCATTTTATACAAGACACTATGAATACAAGATTTATAGGTCTTTCACAACACACAACACACATCACAAACCCTAGCCGCTCTCTCTCACGTCCACGGCCACCCTCCACCGCCGCCGTCGCCGGAATCGGCCACACGGGCCGATTGCTCTTGGTAGCTTCTTTCCTTTTGTCCTTTTTTTTTCCGTCTATTCTATCTTTTGTGTGTCTAGTGCCACATATTTAGTAGATCTCAGTATACGAGGTGAAATCCGAGAGGAGGAAGACCAAGGAGTAGAATTGCCGAGAAGCCATCGCCGAAGCACCGCCGCATGCGCCTCCACGCGCCGCCCGAAGACAGCGTGTGGATCTCACACGCCGCCGTCGTTGAGCGCGTCCGTCGCCGTTGCTCCTCCCGGCTGCACAAATTGGTTTCCGTGGCAGTTTGCTTCAATCCGATAATTTGCATCATGCTTCAAGAGGTAATTTTCGGATCCGTTATTAATTAGGTTTTAATTCAATTAGATTAAATTATATGTTAATATTCACAGTATGAGTTTTCGTGAATTGCTATACGTGATTGTTTGTATGAATTTGTGATTTACTGCGAGCATGCTATGTGATTTATTATCGAATTAATTATACGCATGTTGTACTTTTATTTTTGCTGGAAGCATTAAGATAAGCAATTAATTGCTTAACAAATCGAGTATATGATTATATGAATATAAATCGTATTTTTCATATAAAATTTTTGTTTTTCGCTGCGTACACGTGCCCGATTCCCAACAGGTGGGTGGCGTTGCGCGCGTGGCGCACAGAAAACGAGGGATGCACGCGCGCGTCCGAGTTGGGAGAGTGGATAGCGCGCACACGTTACGTGCACCGCCCATCCAGGGCACGAGTGGGGCGCGCTTGGGCAGACGCGCGCGCGCGTCTGGGGCTGTTGGGCGCCCGTGGCAGGCGCGTGAGGAGGGTTCCGGGGCGCGTGGATCGATGCGGAGGTGCCGGTTCGAAGCCGGCCACGATAATCAGACAGTCGAACGCGGGTTTCGCGAAATGGTAGGTGCTTGGAGTGATGATTTGAGGCCAAATGTTAATATTTGTCCCACTATTGATGACGTTGGTTCTAGTAGACGTCGTTATGGGCGTTAAGTGGTGGATTTTGGGAGTGATAGTGATGGGTCAACTCACTTGAGTTCATCAAGCGAACGTTTTGGACCGAGTAGCGAAATGGAAGCGATGGTTGAAATGGAGGAAAAATATGATATTCCGCTTGTTGATGTTAAGATGGATGCAAGGAGACAAAAGCAGACGAAGCCAATCAATCTCGATTTAGTTGATGTTGATAGTACGTAGAGCATTTGCGGACCATTCGTCGGTTGGTTGGAGTGCCGAGGAATATCGAAACTCTTTTCCTAAAAAAGGCGAGCGTTTGTATTCGCCACCTATTGGGTTTCATTCGGTGTATTGGGTTTCATATATATTATGTGAAAACTTGATAGTAATAAATAAATACAGATAGGCCTCGTTTGCTTACCTATATCGGATTACATTGGATTAGGTGAGATTGGATTAATATCCCACTGACTAATTAATTATTTAGTCAGTAGGATGTTTGATTCGTTAGATTAAATCTTGTATTAAATTTGTTAAATTCTGGTATTAATTGTGAATTGACTAAAAACCCTTTTAATTAACAAAATTAAGATATTATTTTAAGGATAAAATTGTATTTTCCTCTTCTAATCACCCTCTACTAAATTAATCGCAGGGGGAGGGGTGCTACTAATTTAACCAAATAATAGCATTTAATTGCGGGCTTTAAGTGTAGTAGCGGGCTAGAGTAAATACGAATCTCATCAACCAAACATCTTACTAACCCCTATTATTTAGTTAATAGAGCTTAATAGCATTAAGCAAACGAGGCCATATTAAGTTCCACGGTTGATTAATGGGTAAAATTGGATTGGATGCAATGTGCAGTCGAAAATATAAAATAGGGGTTTTTTGTTAGTTAAAATAATAGAGGGACTGTTTGCAAATTGAGATAACACAAGGGTTTTAAAAGCAATTTAGCTATGACGGAGTTTCACAATTAAAACCGTGTACGAGCACATAGCTAATTCTCTCCCACTTCGAACCCTAACCTTTAACAATCGTCATTATTTTCCGAAAATTAAAATTCTTCCTCCCTCCGGCAACTAGATTGGAACCAGTTTTCCTTTCTGCACCTGTAATTTGAGAGGGAGTAGGTGAAGATATATTCTGGAGCTAGATTATACTCTCACAGGTGAGTGATTTTTGGATGAATTTCATTGGCGATTTTTTTTTTTAATGTTACTCGATAACCTCCCCATAGATATTTCATAAATTGAGCTGCGACGAACTGATGAGTGTTCTGGTTTGTATGAAAACAAAACTTAAGCTGGAGATATTTACTTATTTTGCTATTTTTTTATTTCATGATTGGAGCTCTGGGATTATGCATATCTTTTCACTCGAATTACGTTCGATTTTGTAGAGAACAAAGAAACATCCTTAGTTTGTTAACATGGTTTAGAGATTCTACTCCGATTCTTCTAACTTTGTGTAATAAGTGCCTTGAGATTTACGATGCAACAGATTTTATTAAGAATGCTTTTGATTGTTTCTTGACTTCATTAATTTTTGGAGCGTGTGCTGTGAATTAATTTCATTGAATGTTGTGTAGTTTGTTGAATAGGAATGTCCACTGCTGAGGCATCCCCAAGTAGCCTTGGGCCGAGATATGCTCCGGATGATCCAACTCTACCCGAACCCTGGAAAGGTTTAATTGATGGAAGTACAGGCGTTTTATATTATTGGAATCCTGAAACAAATGTTACTCAGTATGAAAAACCGGCTTCTGTGCCACCACCTTTGCCGCTTGGGCCACCACCTGCAGCTTCCACACCTAAGATGAATCCTGTACCGGCAGCCAGAGACAGTACTCAAGTTCCTCAAAATCAGCAAATGGTGCAAACACATCAACAAATGCATGTAGTTTCACAGGCCACTCAACAGCAAGCTGGACCTCCTGGGCAGTTTCAGGGGTCATACATGGGGCCAATTCAACATGGACCGGAGCAAGTGAGACCACAAATGATGCAACAGCATGGTCAACAAGGGCCATCTCAGTGGGGACAAATGTCTACACAGCCAGGGCAACAAGGATTTCAGCAGTCAATGCAGCAAATCCCTATGCAGACAGGGCACCAAGCTCCTTATCAGTCAATGCAGCAAATGCCCCATGTCCAACATGGTCAAATGTACCCTGGTGCGCAGATGGGATCTCCACATGGTTATCAATTTAGCCATCAGCATTCACAATACATGGTGCATCAGCAGAATGTGCCTCCTCAAGGGCCACAAAGCTCCTTGCAACAGGTGCCTCACAAACAAGAGCATAAAATGGAACCTGGTCAGAGAGACGATATTGATTTTAATCAAGGGAAACAGCCAGGATTTTCACCCGCCAATCAGCATTTGGTACAAGGGCAACAATTTCCTCATCTCCGAGAGCAAAAAACTGGAATTCCTCAGAGAGATGATGTTGAGTTTCAACAAGGAAACCAGGCAGGGTTTTCACCTGGCCAGACTCGGACACCATCTGTGCAGAAGATGAGCATTCAGCTAAGTCAAAATGCACAGTATGGGGGATCATCTGCTAATACGCAACAGAACAATCCTTCGGCTCATGTGCAGCAAACAGGAGTGGAATTACCACACGCACAACATGGTTCTAGGTTTCAGAATCAGATAGGCCCTGGGATGGTGCATGGCCAGCAGCAGAATCCACCGCCTGGTAGATCAAATAGGCCATATGAAGAAAACCATCCTGGGAGACCTGGAAATGATTTATTTTACAACACTCCAACTGATGTCAGTGCAATGCCCCCTCATTTACCCAAACTTGCACCACTACCCATGACCAGAAATCAGCAGGTAAATTTTGTAATTTGGACACCCTATGCCGTAGATATCTGTGTCTATATATATATAAGTAAGTGTATACATACATTACTTGATACTTACAGTTTCCTCATAATGTCACACTTTTAAAACTTCTTTGGTGGGCAAGTGAACTGAGTTGAATGTCTGTTGATGCTGATTCTTCCTTTTGTCAGGAAATGAGGACTGGTGATTTCCCCCCTCAAAATGTTGCACCCAGTCTTCCAGTGAATATGAATGGTCCTGGAGGCCCTCCCTTGCATGGGGCCTATGGTCATGCATCTGCTGCTCCTCCATATCCAAACAATAATTTTGTGAGGCCTCCTTTGGCAATGATGGGATCTTCAGATCCTATTCATTTATCAGCTGCAGAAATTTATCGTCAAAAGCACGAAGTCTCAGCCACGGTTTGTACTTCTATAAATCATTTTCCCTGATTTTGGGATTAGAGAAAATAAATTTTTTTTGTTTTCCGATTGATGTTAGACTCGATGTTCTCTTTAAAATATAAATAAGTTATCTGAACGTGTAAGTATCAATGAGTTGAAGAAACTCATATATCATATAATTAAATAAAATCATGTATACGATGCTGGAGAAGCATGGATTATTCATTCATGAGATGAAAGCTCTGGCTTCTGAAATTTATATTCTTTTCTCTTTAGATTCATTGATATGTCACTGGAGTCAGAATTCGTATTTGACAAGACCCAATTATAATTATTCAGGGCGAAGATGTTCCAGCTCCATTTATGACGTTTGAAGCCACTGGATTTCCACCAGAAATACTGCAGGAGGTAAGGGCTTGGTTATAAGGTGGATTGTATTTTTAGAAGTACGATGGTGAATTTGCTGTCCCTCATTATGTTCATTCAAAAAAATGATGCTTTTAGCTTATCAGTTTTAACTTGTCGCAGGTGCGATATCTGCTCCAGAGGAGGAGCACATGTCGTACGCTGCAGTGCTATGCTCATATCTATCCAACAGCTATTCTGATTTTTTGAGGCTGCAAAATGGACTGTTGGAGCCTTCATATAGCACTACTTCTTGAAGGGTGCTTCATCCAATTCACACTATATATGTGACTGGGATTTCTTGCCTATTGGCTCCGATTCCTCTGTTTTATTTGCTCCATTTTTTGCGTCGAGTTGCTTTCAGTAAGCAACCACAAACCTATGAGTTTTTTTGAGCATTCATTTTTTTTTCTTTTCTTTTCTTTTTGGTACTAGTTCCTTCCTTTTCCTTTCAAATATTTAATCGCTTAGTGTAGCTTTACTTTCCATATTGAGTTGCATGGAATCTTTTCTAGATATTAATGTTTTGCGGGCTTACGTGTTCCTTGTAATTTTTATTATATTGCAGATACATTTTGCTGGTTTCTCTGCTCCCACACCAATTCAGGCACAGACGTGGCCTATTGCTTTACAGGGCAAGGACATAGTTGCTATTGCGAAGACAGGATCTGGGAAAACGCTAGGATACTTGATGCCGGCATTCATACACCTCAAGCGAAGGCGTAATAATCCTCAGAACGGCCCATCTGTTTTGGTATTGGCTCCAACCAGGGAGCTTGCCACCCAAATCCAAGATGAAGCGATCAAATTTGGGAGATCATCTAGGTTCTCTTGCACGGTAGACTACCTGTCAATTTGTTGTTATTTTAAAATGAGCATTATTCTACTTTACTTATTTGGGTTAAACGGTGGACTTGTCCCCTTGTCAGTGCTTATATGGTGGTGCTCCAAAAGGACCTCAGTTGAAAGAGCTAGAACGGGGAGCAGATATTGTTGTGGCAACTCCTGGTCGGCTCAATGACATCCTTGAGATGAAGAGGATTGACTTCAGGCAGGTCTCGCTTCTTGTTCTTGATGAGGCTGATAGAATGCTGGATATGGGATTTGAGCCTCAGATCCGTAAGATTGTGAATGAGATTCCTCCGAGAAGGACCCCATGTTGGCTTCGTACGAGCTGCACTGCCGTCTTGAATAAATCCTGACGCCCTCCTTC